AAATCCCTAAATCTTTGAAATAGATTTTTTCTCCCCAAAATCCCCAAACAAGCGACGAACGGCGAACGGCTTTCTCTCTGGACGAGCGATGAACGGCGAGCAGGCTCAATCGCTGTCGACGACGGCTAGCGGTGGTGTGTCGACGATGACAGCTAGCGGTGGTGCGGCGACGACTTTCTCACTCAGCGTATGCTCTCTCTCTCTCTGTATATATATATATATGTGTGTGTGTGTGTGTGTGTATTAACTGTTCAAAAAAAAATAAAAATATACATGAATATATATGATTAGTGTAAATTATTTAGTGTAAATTTAGCGTAAAATATATTAGTGTAAAATTATTTAAATGAGTTGTAGTTGGTTATTATGTAGTTATTTATTGATCCTAACAATTATTTTTAATTAATAAACTTTTTAGTATATTTTTAAATAAATGCGATAAATTAGAAATATTACAATTATTGAATTGATTTATTTGTTTCAGACATAAATTTTATAAAATAAATTATTAAAATGATTAAAATATAACTTAGGATGGACTCACGAGACCAAATATGATTGTTAGGTTCGAGAGACAAATTCAACCCATAAAAATTAATAATAATAAATAATTAAACAAACATTTAAAGAATTGGGTTCCTCAGTATTCTTCATTAGCTTAAGAACTATGATAGCGTAGGAGTGGACTGTGGAAGCTATGAATCGTAATTTACCTCAACTTCTCCACTGAATTTTATTTTCTTGGAAAGTCACGACATAAGAAATGAGCGAGATATAAAAAAAAAAAAAAATCAGTTTTTGGAAATTTGTACTACTTACCTGAGCAGTGCTTGTGTCCTTGCATTGAATTGTTATGGTAATGTGGCTCAAGTTGAGGGTTAGGATTAAATGTTTCACTAAAATAGACTATGTCTTTGTGGGCACTTTTTCTGAGACACAACATGCCCTTCCTCACCTCAGTTAACATGTCAATAATGCGGTTTAAGTAATCCTTCTCAAAATTATCGTAATTATAGTTGTTACTGATCCTAATTTCATTTTCATTGAAAAATGTTATTGTTTATGTATTCCTTAAATCCATGCAGATGATTATTCAAACGACACCAAGGGTTAAGCACTTTGGTATTCAGAGGAAGCCATTACCTCTTGAACCATCTTTACTTCTGCGTGAAGCTAATCGCCAAAAGGCTTCTCTTTCTGCTGGGAATGTGTTTGAATTATTTGATGGTCGCTCAGCTTTTATTGATGGGTAATGGAAATTTAGTAATTGAATGCAATATATTGTTACATGCTATTCAAAGAAATGCATAATTTCTTGGAGGGGGAATACAATCTTGTTGGTTAGTTCCAGTGTTTTGACTTAAAATGTACTAAACTGCTTTAATTTGCTTTGGAAGCAAGCATACTAGTTGCTGATAACAACCTTCCCCCCTCCTTTTTTTCCCCTCTAATTTTAATCAATACAATTGCTTCTCATTATAGTGATGGACAAGTGGCACCTGATATAGAAACAGAGTTTTATCGCCTTCAAGGTGATCTTTATTCACTATGCCGGATTAAGGTAAAGTTTACACGCATTGCAAGTGACTTCCAAACTCCATATACTTAGTGTGATATAGTGCAGTGTTTGCATACTATACTATGTAACTTGGTGAGTGGAAGTAATCAACATTTGTTATTTCAACCGAGAATGGAGTTTGAGGGAAAAAATAGTTGTCCAGGCATGTTTTTTGCTGACATATAGATGCGATGATATGTTTCATTCTATTTTTATTTCTCAATGGTTTCCCTGTGACAATTAACAAGCATTTTTTTTTATTAAGAAAAAAAAGAATAGCCATGCATTTGTTCACTTGTTTCTACAAATTTAATACCAAAATTATTGCTTATTGCAATGTAATTCCCCATGTTGCAGTTCATGAGGCTTGCATATTTAATTGGTTCAGATATAGAAAGAAGTCCTGTCAACAGGTAGAAACACAACTTTTTAGCATACCAATCCTATTTGAAAGTAGTAGTCAGCATTGCCAAAGAGTTCCTTTGATGTTGCACTGTGGTCCTCCAACTCTCTCTAATATATTTTTCTTTTGTGCAGTGCTTCACTCAGCATGCTACCTTGGCCTAAGCCCGCAGTTTGGCCTTTAGTTCCACCTGATGCTTCATCTGAGGTGTTTGAGAAGGAAAAGGTGAGGTTTTTAATTTGGTATTATTGACATGTAACTAGGAAAAGGCTTGTAAATTTGAGCACTGATATAAATTAAATAAACCAACCTTGTACTGGTTATTTCGAGGATACTTCAATTGATACTCTGCTTCTTTTGTTATAAGTGATTCAACTGGTTTGCTGGTTGTTTAGAATGAGTCTTAACTGAAGTCAAATAAAGTTAATTACATTTTAGGATGAAAGAAAATTTTATTCATAACTCGAAAATCATTTGATGGCTCAGTATGATGGCCTCAGTGACATCCTAACAAAGCGGCCAATTTTAATTGGGCCAGAACTGAAAGCTACTCTGGAAAACATGATCTGATTTTTTACTTTCTTTGTAAAAATTAGTTTTTTCAATAATGCCTCCTGTGCGCTGAGGAGCTTCATCATCAACATCTTTACTCTGGATTATTGGAAGAAATAACTGAACAACTGTGGGATAGTCAAATTTATTGTTGTCGCAGTTCAATTACATACATTAGTCACCAATATGGATCTTAGATGATATCTAGAGCTGGAGGATTGTAAGGGCCAGGTTGTCAAAAAATCAAAAAAAAACCTTGTTCAAAAAAAAAAAAATCAGTTTTTGGAAATTTGTACTACTTACCTGAGCAGTGCTTGTGTCCTTGCATTGAATTGTTATGGTAATGTGGCTCAAGTTGAGGGTTAGGATTAAATGTTTCACTAAAATAGACTATGTCTTTGTGGGCAATTTTTCTGAGACACAACATGCCCTTCCTCACCTCAGTTAACATGTCAATAATGCGGTTTAAGTAATCCTTCTCAAAATTATCGTAATTATAGTTGTTACTGATCCTAATTTCATTCTCATTGAAAAATGTTATTGTTTATGTATTCCTTAAATCCATGCAGATGATTATTCAAACGACACCAAGGGTTAAGCACTTTGGTATTCAGAGGAAGCCATTACCTCTTGAACCATCTTTACTTCTGCGTGAAGCTAATCGCCAAAAGGCTTCTCTTTCTGCTGGGAATGTGTTTGAATTATTTGATGGTCGCTCAGCTTTTATTGATGGGTAATGGAAATTTAGTAATTGAATGCAATATATTGTTACATGCTATTCAAAGAAATGCATAATTTCTGGAGGGGGAATACAATCTTGTTGGTTGGTTCCAGTGTTTTGACTTAAAATGTACTGAACTGCTTTAATTTGCTTTGGAAGCAAGCATAATAGTTGCTGATAACAACCTTCCCCCCTCCTTTTTTTCCCCTCTAATTGTTGAAGAAGTGAACTCTAATATTTGTATCTTTGTGTATATGTAAATGTCTTTGTCTTCAGATCCTTTGATTTCTTTTGAGCCCTTACCCAGTTGTTACATGCTGGCAGCTTAGGTTCAGATGGATCTCCAACGAAGCCCCTTTCAGCTGAAGTCAATACTGTTTCCATGTCAAGAACTAATTCTTCACCCGGAAACTTTGAAAGCTGCATCGATCGACCTATGAGACTTGCAGAGATATGTGTTGCTGCTGAGCATGCTCTGCAGAATGGTGGACCAGCAGCAGTGATGATTTTATGAGTTATGAGAAGCCAACCCAACATCTTGAGAAGGGAGAAACCCATCAGGGACCAGCTATACTTGGAATTGCTATGGTAGCAATGGCTGAAGAATTGGGACTTGAAATGGCTATTCGCTCATTAGAGCATCTATTACAGTATGGAGAGCAGAATATCCGAAGGGCTGTTCCTTTGGCTCTTGGTCTTCTTTGTATATCAAACCCTAAGGTAAATTATCCTGTGATATTTTCCAAGCTGAGCAACCTTGGAACTGGTGTTTGAATTGCAGTTGAGCTAATTTATGAATTGGATGTTCTGACCAGGTCAATGTTATGGATACATTAGACAGACTTAGTCACGATACAGATACAGAAGTAGCAATGGTATTCTCTCTTTCATATAATATATTAGGACTATAGTTAGTATTATCGATTCCTTGTTAGTTACAGCCTAAATCTTGACATATTTACCTGGATTCTACAGGCTGGCGTCATCTCCTTAGGGTTGATTGGTGCTGGAACCAACAACGCTAGAATAGCTGGCATGCTTTGCAATCTTTCGAGTTACTACTACAAAGAAGCTAGCCTCCTTTTTTGTGTAAGTTTCTCTTGGAATTTGTTCCACAGTGCATCTCAGATTTTCTTTCTTTCTTTCTTTTATTTTTATTTTTATTTTTTATTTTTTTAAGGGGTTCTGTTTTAATGATTTGTGTTGGCCACTTGTGCAGGTACGAATTGCCCAGGGTCTTGTACATTTGGGAAAAGTCTTGTTGACTCTTGCTCCATATCATTCTGAGCGCTTTTTGCTATCCCCGTAAGTGTTTCTTCTCCCCCATATTAACTTTTCAATTTTAGGGTGTGGGTTAGAACTGATTCACATACATACATATCCAGCGGGAGATGAGCAAGTTTCAACAATGGGAGACTTCTTCCAAAGTGGTAGTTTTCACATCAGGACTGACCCGTTAATTGGGATGTTTCTGTTGAATCTAAAGGTTTTTTGTTAGAATTTTGATGGCACCTAAGCTAGTCCATGTAGTTTAAACCTACCATTTCAAGTGGTTCATTCCGCTTTTAGTTAATATCCCGTATACAGGGGAACAATGGTTTGTTTCCCATTTAAGAGATTTATTTTTGAAAGAAGAATTATTCCACATTATTTATGTGATGGAATTCTAGAAATGAATCAATAGCATTCATATGGAATTTCCAAACACACTAGAAACAAACAAAAAATTCGTCATCCTATGAGCATCTTTTGTATAAGAGAAGTTTTGGTCTTAGATACAGCCGAGTGTTGGAAGAGGATTCAATCAGATGATCCAAATAAGTTCAGCTTACAGCTCTGTTGGGTTAAGAATGGTGTCAAATGCTTCATGCATTCACTTCTTGAACAGGGTAAATGATTCAGTAGCGCTAAAGGAATATATGATCTGTATTGTCTGCAAAGTTTGTTTACTGTTGTAATCTGTAATGTGGCTATTTTGTCCAAAGCTGTTAAAAGGCTGTCATGTGGAGTAAAACATTTTATTTATAAAAAAATAATAAAAAAAATAAATAATTTGTGGGATAAAGCATATTGGGAGACAGGGTTACAAATATGAAGTTTTTAGATTATGATCTAGCCTTCTTTTCAGCAATTAAATGAATAAATAAATTTTAGTACCTGTGAGGAGAAGTATTTTTAAGTCATACCTCTGGCTTTTCTGTCGGCTCACTTTCTGTATGTATTTCATCTTTTTCTTCCATAACGGCACTGGCTGGAATAGTAACCTTACTGCATGCATGTCTTGATATGAAAGCGATCATATTAGGGAAATATCATTATGTTCTTTACTTCCTCGTTTTGGCAATGCAGGTTTGGTCTCAATTTATAACAGTTTGTCTACTTCTATCTCACTCTCTATTGCTTTTAATGATTGGGCTTTTAACACACTACTACTAATGGTTGATTATGTTATATATTTCCTTCAATACTACAGCCAAGAATGCTACTGACAGTAGATGAGAACTTGAAACCTCTGTCAGTACCTGTGCGGGTGGGCCAAGCTGTCGATGTTGTTGGCTAGGCAGGTCGACCCAAGACCATTACTGGTTTCCAGACCCACTCAACACCAGTTCTTCTGGCTGCTGGTGATAGAGCGGAGCTTGCTACTGAGAAGTACTACATTCTATCCCTTGCTAGTGTAGAATTTATTCAAGACTGAAGCCTAGAGAAACAACCAAATCTCATGAGAACGTGGACATAACAAATCACATATTGCAACATAATGCACGTACCGTATTGTTCTATGTGTGAGATACTAAGCATATATTATGACCTGAATGCATTTATTAGCATTTGTTGTAATACTAATGCCATCAAACTTGCTAGCTGGTTTGTTGTCTATTTGGTTTTATAGATCAGTCTGTTGGGTGCATAAATTTCCTCTTATCTTCCTCACCCTCGTGTGACCATCTTCCGATTGATTGCAGACTCCATTGAAGCTAGACCTGCTTCCTACAGAAGCTAGAATAAGCGGCAAGGAATACAAGGAGAGAGTTGTTAACAATCTCAAGATTTTAATTGTGCATTACTCGGGTATTTTATTGTAGGATGGATATATATATATTTTTCTTTTCTTTCTCCACTAGCAGATGGTGGGGGAAGGAGGTCAATGTTTCTGATCTTGTTTACTGGTACCTTCATTATAGAAGCATTTTGTTGACTTTCTCATGACTAATTTAATGATTTGAGTGTAATAAATTTGCCACTAATGGTTTTGAGTGAAATGATTCGACTTCTTGTTTACGTTCACAAATAGTATATAATTTTTGATCTTCATGCAGGTAGATTCTGTAGTTTACCTTGTAGACGCGTACGACAAAGAGAGATTTGCAGAGGCTAAAAAGGAGCTAGATGCCCTACATAAAAAAGAACAACAATACTCAACAATACTCAATCTTGTTAATACCAGATGTTCTTTTTTTTTTGAAATTGATGCTGATTATGTTAAATTTTTGTTGGAATGAATTGTTTTTTGTTTTTTGGGGTTTAGAATAGGGTTTTGTGAATTGTTCCTTGTTTTTGGAATCAATGTTGCTACTGCTGAGTTATGTGTTGAAACTTGGATATAGAAAATTTTATAATAAGACCTGTTATGATTATGAATTCGTCCTATTTTGATTATCAATTCGCTAAATATTACAGGTGTATTGTTTTCCTGCTTTGGCGACCAATTTTTTAGTCGCGACAAATAAATTATTTTTTTTCACAAAAAATGACAATTGCCGACCAAGAGTTTTGGTCGCAAAAAATACATCTATTGCCGACCAAAAATTTTGTTGGTCGTGGAAACTCACTTTTGCCGACCAACAGTTTTGGTTGCGAAAAGTAACAATTGGCGACCAAACTAATTTTGGTCGCACAATGTCACAATTGGCGACCAAAATTTTTGGTCGCTAAATGTGTCAATTGGCGACTAAGAAATTTGGTCGGCAAAAGGCGACTTTTCGCGACCACAGTGTTTTAGCGATAAAATGAATTAGTCGCGGTAATTAAATATTTAGCGACCAAAAATTTAGTCGGCAAATCCAACTTTTGCCGACCAACGAAAATTTTGGTCACGAATTACTTTTGCCGACCCTCAATTGGCGACCAAACTAGCGACCAAAAAAATTGGTCGCGGATAACTTTTGCCGACCAAAAATAGACTTTTAGCGACCAATTTTTTTGTTGCTAAAAGTGTTAATTGTTGTAGTGTTACTTAATTCTGACTGAATTTATAAAACGAAACATAAGCATTGATATATGCTATTATAAACTCACTACCACCATCATGCCGCTGCCGCCACCATCGCCACCGCCGCCGCCACTGCTACCACCACCACCACCACCACCACCACGCCACTGCTACCACTATCAATCCCACTGCTGCCACCACCATAACCATCACATTATCACCACCGGCACCACCACAATATAAAAATTAATACATACAATTTGTAAATAATAAATTTTAAATTTAATCTTATACATATCAAATAATTTATTTTTAATTCAGCACTTACATTTTTATCAAATATGTTTTTAGCTTAAAAAAATCAGCATTCAATTTCAATACTTAATTTCAGTCTTCAGTTTTCAGCTTTATCAAACACCACCTTTAGTAGTAGTCAACTTTTGTGTAATTATTTTTTGGATTTGGAGTCCTCCCGTTTATGATTTAGATTGGAGGATACCATTTGAGTTTATGAAACTTTTTATAGATCTTATTTTAATAATTTGAACCATTCATTTTGTCAAATCATTTATGCATATCATCCACCAAAATAAAATTAGATTGATATCATCGTAACATATTTAATTTATCATATTTATCTCAAAAAAATTAATAACAAATGTGGTTTTTCAAATTTTATCTTATGAAAAATAGCAAAATGCATTAAATGATTACATCTATTCTTACTTGTATAGAAAATAAAAATAAAAATAAAAATAAAAATAAAAATAAAAATACAAATAAAAATAAAACTTTAAAGGTTATCCAAATTAAATATAGAATAATACTGTATGCATCAATTGGTATGCCAATTAGTGTACTAACACATGATATGGCATAATTTTAGAGGTTTTAGGTATTTGTAATTTGTATAATAACTGGGATCAATAATAATGTCATAATGGGGGTGTTTGGGAACTTAGTTTTTGGGTTTTTTTTTTTGTTGCTTTTTTTTCACTACAAGACAAATGTTTTACAAAATCAAAAAAAAATAAATCTAAACAAAATATCACATCAAACCCCATAATTATTTAACTTTTTCTTTCACAAACATCACATCCAACCACAAAAAAATCCAACTATCTTTTCAAACACAAAAAAAAATTTCTCCAATAATATCCTACAACTAAAAAAACTACAAAAAAAACTCACTTCCCAAACACCCACCATGTATGTTGTTACACTAATTAGTATATCAATACCGGTTCACCTTCAAATTCAATATTTTACACTATTTTCAAATAATTTAAGCCTTCAAATTAAGATCGGCTTGGACTTTTTCCCCACTATTTTGGGAAGTAGGTTAAGAGTTAACTTTTTATTTTATTTATTTATTTATTTATAAAAAATGTGCAAAAAAAATAGAGAGATGATATGACTTAAAAAATCAAAAAAATCAAAAATTCAACTTTTGACCTAATTGCCGAAAGAGAGATGTGTCTTAACAAATTGAATCTTAGTTTCAAATATATGCATGTATATATATGTGATTGAGTTTTTTTAATATATTTTTTAAAAAATTAAAATTTAGATTGATGAAAAAATAAAAAATCAAATGCTCATTATTTTCATATAGTTTTTTTTACACAAAAAATAAATTTTTAAATTTTGAAAATACAACTTTTTATATTTATTTTTATCAAACTAATTTCTAATTTTTTTCAAAAAATTTATAATACAAATTTTAAAAATTCAAACAAATAAGAATATTTTACAAGTAGAGTCATCGTAAAGGGTGGGTGAAGCTCTAAATTAAAAATATATTTTAATAAAGTATATTATATGATTTTTTTTATAGGACATCGTTATTTTTGGAAACAGGACATAATATACGTGGGAATAGATTGTGCAACTGATTTTATCAAGACTTCTCTACCAGCCGCCGATAAATATTTTTCTTTCCACCCATTCAGCCGTTTCCAAACTCGATCTTTAACATAGTTGAAAATCCCTCGTTTAGATTGACCAACAATGTATGGCATGCCAAGATATTTCCCAGATTCCACCATAGTGCCAACCCCAATTGCAGTCCTCAACACCTCCTGAGTATCCACCGCAACATTCTTGCTAAAACAAATAGCCGATTTCTCAAGGTTGATTTTTTGGCCTCATGCTAACTCATATTTTCCCAAAATGTCTTTAACCAAGCTATCATCCGCAAAGAAAAGGTGGAACACACACGGACTCCCTCTACACACTGCCACACCAGTGAACTGACGCACTTCTTCGGCCCAATTGATTAAAGATGACAGACCCTCCGCATACAACACAAACAAATAAGGTGATATAGAAGGTGGAGGGCTTGACCCCTTACAGAATGGGAACTTCACTCAACATAAATGCTCAGGAACCCCAGCCATCCAAACTCTCTTATCTGGATCTTCCTTGGCCATTTGTGCCAAATGATGAGCCACAACGTTGCCACTCCATCGCATGTGCGAAACACAAAAACTCGAAAAATGCTTACTACGATAGATGGCATATTGTAAAAAATGACCAAACGAAGCACTAAGATGACCATCCTCTCGTATTGCCTCCACCACAGTAAGGGAATCACCTTCCAATTGAATGTTTGTTAACCCCAACTCGGCTGCAAAATCCAGTGCCTTGACAACCGCAGTAGCTTCAATACAATCTACCTCCATCCATGTTGGAATTTTCTCCGATAAAGCTGCAATAGGCACTCCCTTGTGATCACGAATCATGACCTCCACTCCACAGGCCTTCTGCCTCATGAACATGGCCCCGTCGAAGTTCACTTTAAGAATCGCCCCAACCGACGGTCTCCACTTCTCATTTCCATGATCCACTGAAATACCACGCAATGTGGATTGTGCCCTCTCAAAATCTCACACCAGGTCACACACCATTTGAACAGTCGCAGCAGCCGAGTGAATGACATTACTGAATAGAGCTTGATTCCGCGATGACCACAAACCCCAGCAAACTACTAAAAACAAACCCAGTGTAACTTTATTAGTCCGACGCCCAACTCCATATGCCTAGCCCATAAAGTCACCACCAGCACCTTGATCAAGCACAAAAGGTATTGGATTTTGATACCAAACCTCCCTCGCCCTCATACAAATCCATAAACAGTGCATTACCATTTCTGCTTCAGCCCCACAACCATCACACATATCCTCTATCAATATATGCCGATGCCGAAGAACTGATTTAACCGATAGAATATTGGAACAACACTTCCACGCAAAAACCTTAATCTTGTTGGGAATGCGAAGGCTCCATACTCTCTTCCAAAACCAGGTAACATGTTGCACGTCTGACCCAGACCCGCGCACCTCGCGCACACTAAGATTCATTTGCAAATGATAAGCTGAACGAACCGAAAACAGCCCATTCCTCGTATAGTGCCAAACCAACATGTCTGGAATGCCGTGACAACAAAGGGGGATTTGCTGGATTGCCTCCACGTCCATCGCCAAGAAATTCTCATGCAATACAGTGACATCCCAACAGTGCCTTTCCACATTGATAAGGTCACTGACCAAAGCACCCTGTAACTGTGTTGTAGTTGGCGAACAAACCCGAAAAGAATGAGGCTGTGGCACCCATTTGTCGCCCCATATCTGTATTGATCGCCCATCTCCCACTCGCCACCTCAACCTAGCTTCCAAAAGCGGCCTTGCATTAAAAATGCTCCGCCATGTGAAAGATGGATTCGACCCAACGCCAGCTTGAAGAAAACTTGTATGAGGATAATACTTAGCCTTCAAAATTCTAGCCAACAAAGAATCTGGGGCCGAAATCAACCTCCACCCCTGTTTGGCCAACAACGCTTTGTTAAAGGCCTTCAAGCTACGAAACCCCATCCCACCCAACCATTTTGGGTCACACAATGCTCGCCAATTTTTCCAATGATTTTTCCGCTTGCTCTCCCTCTCACCCCACCAATAGTTACGCACCATAGAGTCAATTTCCTCACAAATCATATCAGGCAACTGGAAGCAGGACATAATATACGTTGGAATAGATTGTGCAACTGATTTAATCAATATCTCCCTACCAGCCGCCGATAAGTATTTTTCCTTCCACCCATTCAGCCATTTCCAAACTCTATCTTTAACATAATTGAATATTCCTCGTTTAGATCGCCCAACAATGTATGGCAGGCCTAGATATTTTCCAGAGTCCACCAAATTGCCAACCCCCATCGCATTCCGCAACCCCACCTGAGTATCCATCCCCACATTCTTGCTAAAACAGATAGCCGATTTCTCAAGATTGATTTTTTGGCCTGAAGCTATCTCATATTTTCCTAATATATCTTTAACCATCGATAGTTCTCGTGGGTTCGCAGCTCCAAACAACAAACTATCATCCGCAAAGAAAATGTGAGACACCCGTGGGCTACCTCGACACACTGCCACCCCAGTGAGCTTACCCTCTCTTTCAGCTCGTTTAATTAAAGAAGAAAGACCTTCTGCGCACAACACAAACAAATAAGGAGACAGCGGGTCCCCTTGCCTCAACCCCCTCTTTGGAACAAACGTCTTCGTTGGATGACCGTTCACAAGGACAGAATATGACACAGATGAAATACAATATAAAATTGTATCCACAAAATATTGATTGAAACCCATCCTCTCCATTACCCCCCGTACGAACCTCCATTCAACACGATTGTATGCTTTACTCATATCAAGTTTTAAGGCGAAATGCCCCTCTTTTCCATGCCGTTTATTCTTCAAAAAATGGAATATCTCAAATGAAGCAAGCACATTATCACTAATAAGCCTCCCGGCCACAAAGGCACTTTGATTAATCGATATGATCTCGGGTAAGATTTTCCTTATCCGATTGGCTAACAACTTGCTCACAATCTTGTAGACCACGTTACAAAGGCTAATTGGCCGAAATTGAGACATCCGTTTTGGGTTCTACACTTTTGGAATTAGCACAATAAATGTATCGTTCATAGCCGTCACATTCTTGCCATCATTAAGAACACCCAAAACCGCCCGTGTAACTTATGCACCCACTATCAGCCAGAACCGTTGATAGAAGAGCGCTGGTTTGCCATCCGGGCCCGGTGCTTTCGTAGGATGCATCTGAAATAAGGCTTGTGACACCTCCTCTGCTGTGTATGCTCTAGTTAACTCTACATTCCTCCCTGGCAAAACGACCGATTGAATGGTATCCAAAACTTCCGTAGTATCTCGCTGTGGCCCCGATAAAAACAGCTCCTCAAAATAACCCACTACAATTCTCTCCAGATCATCCGGTGTAGAGCACCATCTATAATCACCATCTTCAAGCCCATCAATCCTCTTTTTCTTATGCCTCTGTGACGCTTTGGAATGGAAAAAAGAAGTATTTCGATCACCATCTTTCAGCCAATTCGCTCTCGCTCTTTGGCATCACAAAGTCTACTCTCTCTCCAAGAGTTCATAAATCTCACGACATAACTTCATGCGCACTTCGTACTCCTCCCTAGAGAGCACGGACTGGCCCTCCAAACACCGCACCTCATTCAGCTTAGAATGAAGTAATTGTTGGACATGACCAAACGTAGTCCTACCCCACTGGGATAAACAGGAGCCCATCTTCTCCACATTGTGTCGCAATCTATCCATACTACCCTCCTGATCACAGGCCCAATTAGCTTTGACAACCTCCTCACATCTACCATCACGGAGCCACATCGCTTCAAAGCGATAGATACGTGGTCTCCACCTTTGCCCATTCTGGCACTATTTCGGCCCCAACAAATCAACCAGAATTGACATGTGATCCGACGTCGTACAAGTGAGATGGACCACCCGAGCCTTCAAAAAAAAGCCTAACCAAGCAGCATTAGCCACCCCACAATCTAACCGTTTATGTACCAAGCCAGATGGTCGATTATTGCACCACGTAAATCGGGGCCCTGAAAATCCCAAATCAGCTAACGAACAATCCGAAAGAACATGTTGGAAGGCTTCAATCTGGGCTCTGCTTCAGTCACCCAAACCCAACTTCTCCGAGGGCAACAAAATTTCGTTGAAATCTCCCACAACCAACCAAGGTAGATCACATAAACCTACCAAGCGACAAAGCAACTCCCACGAATCCCGTCTTTTCGCTACTTTCGGATGGCCATAGAACCCAGTGAAACGCCATCTCCCAATCTCCACTTCCGACTCCACAACAGCATCGACTTGCCCACTTGAATAGCTACGAACAGACACTGTCACTCCTGTCCTCCATAATAATGCTAACCCCCCAGACAATCCAATCTTATCCATAAACAAACCCCCAACCAAACCAAGTTTACAGCGAGGCCACTCCATCTTACTCGACACACACTTTGTTTCCATAAGAAAAACTACATCAGGCGCTTGTTCCTTCAGCAAAAGCTGAAGATTTCGAACTGTGCGTGGGTTCCCAAGCCCAGCAGCCTCCACCGTTGATTGGAGAGATGATACATGTTTAATCACATCCTCAAAAATCTTAACCCGTTTACTTTCATCTGAAGAACTAGAAGACTCATCATGGAGCCCCCACCCCCGCTTACCCACCGGTTGTGCAAAATTTCGTGCCAACTTCTTCCACTTTTTTTCCACCTTCAATGGGCCGATAGAAGATATACCCATATTAAGCACAGGGCTCACAGAAGAGTCCGAACTTGGCCTTACCAACTCACAATGCTTGGGCCCATCCTAATCCCCCAAGCCCACAATCGCCTGCCCATCAATCATTTCCCCCGTTCTCCCCAAGAGGACCACCTCCATATCCATCCTCTCATCAGGCCCATCCAAAGCATGGTCCAATCCAACCCAACCCTCCGTGATTTGAATATCTGACCTTGGGGCCAATGAAAGATCACTTCCTCCCATACCCACCAATGAAGCCACCAAATTGGCTGAACTACATGCAATCCCGATGTTTGGGGGATTAGAGTTATCCTTACTTGATTTGTACATACCCGGAGATTCCTTCTCCGATCTCCGGTTCTCTACCATCGCCGGAACAAAACTATGATTAGAACTATCCCCTTGACCACCCTGTTGCACATCTATATCCTCCGATATCATTTTAGAGCTTCCATCAGACTCCCCCTTCCTCCCCTCGGTATATTGGTGGTCCCTTTGATACCGTCCCCTTGTTGGCTCTACCCGAAGCCAGGGCCCATACTGTAACCTTGCTCCAACCTCCTCACCGCCACCCAAAATCTTATTCTTACAGTCGCGAACACTATGGCCAAGCAGACCACAATGAAAACAAAAGTTTGGGAGCTTCTCATACGTGAGCGTAATCCACACCGACTCCCACCCACTTAATGCCAATTTCAACCCCCGCCGTAGTGGTTTGGCAATATTGATCTCAACCCGAACACGGAGAGTTCGTCCCCAAGCAATACCACCATCTCCATATTCCATATCGACAAACCTCCCAATTTTATTACCCAGCAAAACCCCCACATCCCACGTCACGCTAATAAGAGGGAGATTTGATGCATGAACCCAAAACTCCATAGTGTAGAAGGTGATGTCCAACGGTTGTAATTTCCCATCAAACTCTCTCAACATCACCAACTGTTTATCAAAATTCCATGGACCATTTAGCATCACCCTTTTCTTATCAACAATATGACCAAACTGGATCAAAAACAAGTTATCACCCAATGTCTTGAACACGATCCCTTTAGATGCTCTCCAAACTGCGGTCAAAGTAGTCCGCAGTGCCTCTAAATTGACTACAACCTTGCTCTGACCTCCTCACCGCCACCCAAAATCTTATTTTCACAGTCGCGAACACTGTGGCCAAGCAGACCACGATGAAAATAAAAGTTTGGGAGCTTCTCATACGTGAGCGTAATCCACACTGACTCCCGCCCACTTAATGCCAATTTCAACCCCCGCCGTAGTGGTTTAGCAATATTGATCTCAACCCGAATACGGAGAGTTCGTCCCCAAGCAATACCACTATCTCCATATTCCATATCGGCAAACCTCCCAATTTTATTACCTAGCCAAACCCCCACATCCCGTGTCACGCTAATAAGAGAGAGATTTAATACATGAACCCAAAACTCCATAGTGGAGAAGGTGATGTCCAATGGTTGTAATTCCCTATCAAACTCTCTCAACATCACCAACTGTTTCTCAAAATTCCATGGGCCATTTAGCATCACCCTTTTCTTATCAACAATATGACCAAACTAGATCAAAAACAAGTTATCACCCAATGTCTTGAACACAATCCCTTTAGATTCTCTCCAAATCGCGGTCAAAGTAGTCTGCAATGCCTCTAAATTGAATGGGCGTGTAGTAAAAAGTTTACCCACCAGACAAAGCCCCGCCTTCGCCTCCATAGGTTGTAGATGAACCTCATCCACCACCACCTCAGCTTCCTCCTCCTCTGTCAAGACGAGCCTCCTCGCCAGATCATTGAGAGAATCCGCCATTAGCACAAACTAGAGATTCCAACCTACAATCGAAACCAGAGAAACACCCCCCACACCAGGAGAGCTATCCCTGTACGTGACAAGAGAGGACTCCTACGAGAGAAGAGCAATCAACCTATGTGATATGTCTAGTTGTAACTTGACGTTTGACTTTTCTTAACATGTAGATTAAAAATGAGAAATTATTTAATACTCATTATTTTGGGAGTATTGAATAATTTTTGTTATTAAAAATACCTTTTTAAAAGGGTAAATTACACTTTATCCCTCTAAAATTTCACCTATTTTTAACTTTGACCCTTTAAGATTAATTGTTTTCACTTTGGCCCTTCATGTTTGTTTGGCCTTTTAAGTTTAATTCTTTCCAATTTGACCCTTCATGTTTGCAATTCATCCCACTTTACCCCTTCATATTTGCAATCATTCCCACTTTATTCCTAAACTAACTTCCATCCAAAAAAATCAAAATCTACCATATCACTAATATATCAGCTCCGTGTGTGATGTAAACAATTCACTAAAGATGCAAAAAATAAGAAATAAAAAACAAAAAAATTAGAATTTTTTTTAGTCTTTAGTGAACTTTTTTTTAAAATTTATTTATACACATTATTACATTATAGATGCATCTAGATTAGATGTAGCTAAAAAAATAAAAACAAATTTAACTAAAAAAAGAAAAAAGTTTACTAAAAATGAAAACAATAAAAATAACGACTCAAACACTTGTATTGTCAATTCTGAAATGAAAATTTTACTATCGTTTTTTTTCATCTTTAGTGAATTTTTTTTCTTTTTTTGGTTTTTTTTTTATTTTTTTAGCTGCATCTAATCTAGATGCATATATAATGTAATAATTCTTATGAATAAATTTGAAGAAAAAAAAAAGTTAACTAAAGACTAAAAAAAAATTTCAATTTTTTTGTTTTTTTATTTTTTATTTCTTGCATCTTTAATGAATTTTTTACATCACATATGGAACTGATGTGTTACTGTTGTGACAAATTCTATTACTTTTTTGGATGAAAGTTAGTCTAAGAATAAAGTGGGAAGGATTGCAAACATGAAGGGCCAAAGTGGGAAGGATTACAAACATGAAGGGTCAAAGTGGAAAAAATCAAATTTAAAGGGCCAAAGTAGGACGGATTGCAAACATGAAGGATCAGAGTGGAAAGAATTGTAAATATAAAGGACCAAAGTGAGAAATAGGTGAAATTTTAAGGGGGTAAAGTGTAATTTACCCATTTATAAAAAAGTATATTATATATATTTTAGTGACAAATACGCTAATTTGACTTCTCTGAAGTTGTTATATCAATTTGAGGAGTAATTTTTGTATACGAATATGATATATGCTATGTGGTACCTTTTACTATTGTGATTGGTTTTGACAGTAAATTCCACTATATTTATATTGGATGTTTGGGGAACAATAGGGGCATATAATTTGTGATTGGTGGAAAATAATGTCACGTGGTACCCGATTGACATACAAAAATTTCTCCTACTCGAGAAAACATTTGAGCTTGTTAGGCCTATCTTTTGACCAATTTCAGTGATCTAAACAGTTCATTTTTTAGATCTTATTGAGTAGAATATTCATGTAAAAAATTAACATAATTGAATAATGATAATTATATGTTTGAATTATATTAGTTTTTAAAAAATGAACGATAAATATAATTTCAATAATAACTATCTAATTTTTACAATACAAATGTGATTCAAAAAATAGTTATTAATATCCGATCATCTTAATTTTTTGTATAAATATTCGACTCAATGAGTCTTAAAAGTGAACAGTTTGGATCATCAATACCGATCCCAAAATAGGCCTAGCAAGCTTAAATGCTCTCTCAAAGTCAAATCTTAAATTGAATAGGCTATCCGTTTAATTTTGTGTGTGAATTATGCATATGAAGCATCCAAAAAGTCAAATATTAAATTGAATACGCTATCCATTTAATTTTGTGTGTGAATTATGCATATGAAGCATCCAACAAAATAAATTGTCCAAATCATCCCAAACAGTATCTTTTACTCCAGATTATAGACTAATAAGGATCCAGCTCCTTTTATTATTTTATTAAAGGTGCTTAATAATGGACAAATATAAAAAAAAAAGAAATTGTTATTTCGCTTAATCTAAAAATGAAGTTGATGAGCTTTCAAATACTCAAATCATGATTAAAAATTAAAAAGTAAATTCTCATGTATTTTTTTCCCCTTCTATACATGTATCAAGTCAAATAAATA